ATCTCTTTCTTTCGAACCAAGATTTCGAGGAGGAAGGTTGTGTCTTTAGTCTGCTCAAAATTTCATATTTTTCTTATACTCAAATACGGCTCAGTTACAAAGCTTGATACATTATAGTTGAATTCTATGGTACTGATATAGTAATTTATTTTTTGGTAAATTATAGTGGAATTCTATGGTACTGATATAGTAATTTATTTTTTGGTAAATTATAGTGGCATTCTATGGTTCTGATATAGGAATTTATTTTTTGGTTATTCAACTGTGTGTATAAAACCTAACAAAATTATTTTGTTTCATATCCTCAACGTGCAAAATTTTTAAAGGCTTAGCAACCTACGTCAGGCAGCGACTGAGTACAAAGGTCGTAACTAAAAGAGATAATTGTTTGCTGAACTTCTTTATTTACTGTTATATGTTTTAAGCAAAATAGGTTTAAGAATTTATTTAAAAACATCAATAATCTATATACATATATAATGTATAATAATTGAAATGTGACTGTATTTTACAAAACACTAGTCAACTTAAACACAGCCAAGACAAGTTACTTTGTAAAAACTAAAGGTCAGTTTTATATTATTGGATACAGTAACATGAGTGCACGTACGCCGTGTCATTGTAACTTATGTTTTGTTAGCCAGGTATGGCTGAAAGATCAATATAATAAAAATAATAAAATATATATAAATGTGTAATGTTATAAGATTTAAACTATTTAGTCTAAACATTTATGTTTTAGTGTTATAATTTGTTGTCATTCTAGAATGAAACAGGCATAATTTATATTTCCTAATTTTTTATAGTGATTACTGATTGGTGAAATCTACTGAACCCCATACACAAATTCATTATTGAAAATAACAGAAAATGTAAAGTTTTTTCTTAAGAAATGTTTGATAACCATCTGGACATTATAAAGAATTTGCATGTGAAATTTTAAGTTGTCTTATGCATAAAAGTATCTTTAATCTTAAAATGAAAATTACATGTTGGATAGGGAACATGCGAAAAGAAAAAAGGGCCCGAGAAAAACATTGCAAAATCAAAAATCTTGTATTTCAAAAACTACATACTTATAGGACATTTCACCTCCAATTTAAAATAATTTCATCCACTAGTTTCATTTTTGTAGAGGAATTTCACAAGAGTTGCATGTCTACTTACATTGTAAGTAACTTGTAGTCAGTAAGTTAAAAATACTTTGCTAAAAATTATTTTTTATATGTGAAAGACTTATAATGTTTACTGAAAGACTGCCAAATTTCGTGAAGATATACACACTATATCAAAAGTTAGTAGTATCAAATCTATAAAGACTTTATACGAGTACAAAAAAGTGATGTGTTCGATCAAATAGACCAAGCCTACGTGCAGAGTTAATTTTACGTATACAGTTTATGTACACTACTTGAAAGTAATGATGTTTTTTAGATGGTTGTTCTGGTCGTCGCAGCTTCAATAGCAGAAGAAGTAGCGAGGAACTCCTGCTGAATTATAAAGCTTGTGATGAGATTTTGTCAGAACTGTGTCATCATCCGGAAAGCTGGCCCTTCCTCCGTCCAGTCAGTCGTAAAGAGGTAACTTGCCATGATTTCCTGTAGTCTGATGTCATTAACTTACCAAATATTTAAGCACTTTTAGTACTGTATAAGATTTTTTTTCTGTTGACATTTAAGTGTTTATTTGTGTTCTTAGCTGAAAGAAAAGTTACATTTTAAAATGAACATAATTTGCATTGTATGTTTTTCATTGAAACTTCCAACAAGAGAAGTGAAATATTTTGGACACCACTATTGTCTTCATGCAATTCTGTGTAACAGTAAACCTACTTATGTACCTGGGTTTAATATTTTAATAGATAAAACTACAAATATGTTGTGAGATAGAAAATTAATTTTTTTATATGATTATGGTTGTGTTTATCATTCATTTATTATTTCCTTCTATCGTTTAGTTTATGTATGAATTTTAGTTGCTTTAAAATGCTAACTCACCTTTTACATAATTGTTTGTATTTTAAGTAAATATATATATATGTGTGTGTGTATAATGAAACTAACACCAGCTTCCCTAGTGGTGACGTACAGATACTATTAAAGTGGTAGAAAAGTAAGTAAGTTTATGATCAAATGAGGTTGTACTCTATGAATAAGTACCCTGCTAGAAGCTTCACTAAGAAAGAGAGAGAGAGTCAAGAGATAGTTATTGAAGGGTATAGTTATTGCTGTTTGTCACTTCTACTGTAATCCTGCATGTCTCAACACAAATAGTAAAGTATGTGATGTTAAGTCATACCATTGGAGATACCTCTTGGGGTGATTCTGTAACTCCTACTGAATGTAAAGTAAGGTAAGTGAGACCTGGGGTGTTGCTTGGGATATTCTATACCCCTCAGTGATCCTGGAGCAGTGCAAGTCAGATTTGGGGTGTCACTTGGGAGATTCTATTCCTCTAATGTACCAGGATGCTGTCCCTGTGATCTTTATTTAACCATCTGTAATGAATGTTTAGGATCATAAAATTGTGAATAAAAGCTAACTGTGTTAGATGGATGCTCATGAGATTAACATGCTTATTATAATTCAGCAAAAAAGTACATTATATAATGAACGTTTGTTTTTGTAGGTGCCTGACTACCACACTATTATTAAAAAACCAATGGATCTTGGAACCATTCGAACCAAACTGAATGACATGAAGTACCATGTAAACAAAGAATTTCTTGGCGATGTATGCCTGGTATTTCAGAATTGTGAACTTTACAATCATAGAAGCTCGGAGGCTTACCAGGCTGGCCTTAAACTCTCTGGATTGTTTCAATCCCTTTTAAAAAAATATTGTATGGAAAATTGCCGAGAAAACAACTTTAAGGAAGAATCCATTGCAAAGCGACCACGGAGGGATTAGTAGGGTTTAAAAAACTTACAACGTGTACACTGTAATCAGTTTCCATTGTGAATTAATTATCTTGACATGTATTATTTTGATGTATTCATTTTGTTATTTTCCACAAGCGATTCTGTATTTAGGAATTCAGGAAATTTAGAAGTAACCTGTCTTTTCATTTGTTTTCTTTCTGGAAAATCTTGGTCAAAATATAGATCTCTTCATATGTATAAAATTGCTAGTATTAAGTTGCAATTAGCAGTACAGTTCTATGATACTTAAATTAAGCCAGGTGTCTTACAGTAAGTAGTTAGAGACATAAAGCCTACCTGAAATATTTCACATTCTAGTTTTTAATCAGACTTGTTCAGTGGCAGAAGAATTAGATGTACTATTTAATTGGCCACATCAGTTTGTCATATTATCTTTGGACCAATTGATACAAAAAAAAAATCCTCCATTATACTTTCTACTCGCACAAATTAAATATCTGGATGGTTCATTTGAATCATATTATTTTTTAAAGAGATTTTGTTCATAATACAGTATTCTACTTTTTAATCACTTCACAAAATTTCATACGTTACTTTTGTAATATTATGAAGATTGTTGTGAATTCATAAAATTTTGTACAGTCATCAGTTTTAATGCTGTAACTTTAATTTCAAAGAATTTGTAACAGGATTGTAATATAAGCTGTTTAAATCGCCAGAATTTGTCATGAACTGTGAAAGTATCAAAAATTGTGTAGTGTGTGATTAATCCTCTTTCCAATAAATCTTTCATTAGTCAAACCTACCAGTATTTATATAAAATGAACACAACTTATACAACATTTATTTGCTAATAATTTGATAATGTTATCGGTGAAGCTACACTTGAGGTTTCTTATATTTTGTTGTCATCACAACTTCAGATAAGAAGTATATAAAATGTGAAAAGGAAATTAATCTGTGGACTACAAGTGACAACATTTACCTGACAATCTGTTAGGTCATGAGCTACTGAACTATCACAATGAAATATCAGTCGACTGAAAGGGGAATAAACCAAACTAAGTTAAGTAATACCATCACTACATATAACACTAATATGTAACTACAAAAATACTCAGTACATGATGTCTTCAAATAATATAGTTGGATATAAAACTAATACTCAGGTACTTAGTTGTGTAGTTCTTGTAGTGTGATACCTATGGTTGGTTGTCTAGAATCTTGTTAGTACTTGTAGTGTGATACCTATGGTTGGTTGTCTAGAATCTTGTTAGTACTTGTAGTGTGATACCTATGGTTGGTTGTCTAGAATCTTGTTAGTACTTGTAGTGTGGTACGGGCGGTTGGTTGTCTAGAATCTTGTTAGTGCTTGTAGTGTGATACGTGTGGTTGGTTGTCTAGAATCTTGTTAGTGCTTGTAGTGTGATACGTGTGGTTGGTTGTCTAGAATCTTGTTAGTGCTTGTAGTGTGATACGTGTGGTTGGTTGTCTAGAATCTTGTTAGTGCTTGTAGTGTGATACGTGCGGTTGGTTGTTTAGAATCTTGTTTGTGCTTGTAGTGTGATACGTGCGGTTGGTTGTTTAGAATCTTGTTAGTACTTGTAGTGTGATACGTGCGGTTGGTTGTCTAGAATCTTGTTAGTACTTGTAGTGTGATACGTGTGGTTGGTTGTCCAGAATCTTGTTAGTACTTGTAGTGTGATACGTGTGGTTGGTTGTCTAGGATCTTGTTAGTACTTGTAGTGTGGTACGTGTGGTTGGTTGTCTAGAATCTTGTTAGTACTTGTAGTGTGGTACGTGTGGTTGGTTGTCTAGAATCTTGTTAATACTTGTAGTGTGGTACGTGTGGTTGGTTGTCTAGAATCTTGTTAGTACTTGTAGTGTGGTACGTGTGGTTGGTTGTCTAGAATCTTGTTAGTACTTGTAGTGTGATACGTGTGGTTGGTTGTCTAGAATCTTGTTAATACTTGCAATACAGGTTGTTTTTTTACAATCGTTTTATATACACTCCAGTACTTAAGTCCCAAGTGAGAGATGTTATTCTAAGAACTTGTAAATGAAAGTAAAGATGACTGTTATAAATGTGCACCACACTGTATCTGCTATATCCAGTGCCGTTGAGACCTTTCGAGCAGTACCAGGTTTCATCAGGCCGGCTTGGATACATTAACAACAACTTGTGTGGTGTGGACTAGATTAAGTTGCTGAAGTGTAACTGTTATCAAACTACACTACGGGAAGATCCAATGAATCATTTACAAATCAGTGTTAGAGACCTAATTGGTTAGTTATAAACTTATTTAATGATTCGACACTCGAGGTAAAGTTTACAAATCATTTCATATATTTGATTTGTATTTTCGGTGTTAAAGCTATCTAAAATATTTTTTTTTCTTGAAGAAAACCGTAAATTTTCTCCACTTTCCGTGTAACTCGTGTGTTATGGCTATACTGAAAGTGACGTAAATAATTTACGGTACATCTGTTTTCGCTAAGTTTATTTTGATTGTTTAGTATTAAGTTACGTGGATTTCGTAACCAATATCGACATTTTAATATGGTTTTTATTAGTACAGTAAATTTGTACGTTTATTTTTACCCCAAATTATATTCTTAACAGCGAGGCCACCCAGATAATGAAACAATGCATTTTAGTTTTTATAAGAAACGTATATTTAAATAGCTATACTGAATGGCCAGGTTGATTTTGTTTCGCTTTGAGTAAATGGCTCGTTCAGATCCGAAGTTAATATCAACTATCTCTTAAAATAACTTTCTAATGATCAACTTCACAACATTGATAAAAATAGGAAATATTTGTACTAGCTCTCTCAGGAATACTTACAAACATAGACTTTAATTATTAGAATATCAGATATCTGATATTTATAAACAGACGCAATGACAAATATCAACTGGCAAGTTCTCTGTTCAGGAAACACCTGCAGGCTTAATATGAAGGGCCTGATTATGAACAGGCTGTCTATTATGTTAGGCTCCTTTATTATCAAACACGTTTCAAGGAAATGTGCAGGTAAATGTACTTAATACTGCATGACAGAAGCAAGAAGTTTTTATCTTGTTCCTTAGACTACAAATACGATCAAGTTTACTATTACAAACAGTTCAACACGACCTTCTAGAATACTCCGTGAAACAGTTTTGACCAAAACGTTGCTTTCCAACAAAATAAAAAATATCACAAAAAGCTGATTTCTAAAAGACAAGAGATGCAAAATGAATTATTTTGAAATGTAAATTTACCAAATATTTTCTTGTGGTATACATACATACATACATACAAATGACCAGACGCTATTTTAAGATGTTCGAGAGAGTAGCAGTTTGAAAATAAAGTAACATTTTGTATTAAAGCTTTGTAGGCTTTATTTTAAAGTTCTACGTTGTTAATAAAAAATCATAATGGTAAATCTACTCTTCACGTAATATGCTTGATAATCCTTTGGACAGTGGACTTCGTTGTTAACGGTGTCAACGTTAGGTTGGACAGTGGACTTCGTTGTTAACGGTGTCAACGTTAGGTTGGACAAGTGGACTTCGTTGTTAACGGTGTCAACGTTAGGTGCGATAAGTGGACTTCGTTGTTAATGGTGTCAACGTTAGGTTGGACAGTGGACTTCGTTGTTAACGGTGTCAACGTTAGGTGCGATAAGTGGACTTCGTTGTTAACGGTGTCAACGTTAGGTGCGATAACTTCTAGAATAATGAAACATTTTGATTTTTATTGACTATCAAATTTCCTGATCTGCTAGAATGATAATAGGTAACGTAGATTAGTGGTTCTCAACCTTTTTGAATCCAGGGAACCCTTCAAAGCATTCATTACACACACAAATTACTGCAATACACTATCAATCAATAATTCCAGACAGAGTACGTATGTTTAATGCTGCTATATACATGCAAATCATGAAATATTTTCTCGATCCAATTATTCTGGTACACAAACATAAGAAGTGTGTTCTCTCAAATAATAAAAGTTTGTACCTATTATTGCTTACTAATATAAAACAATGTATTGTGTTATTATGAAATCTGCTATACTAATAAAGAAATATTATGTAGTCGAACTACAGTTATGTGACTAGTATGTATTGATGCATTAGGATATGCGGAACTCTTGCATTCCGAGGAACACGGGTTGAGAAGAACTGTTGTAGATAACAGAAATATCCAAAGTTCGTCGACGTTTCATCTTTGTGACGAAGATCGTGTCTTCAGGTGTGAAAAATAGTTTTGTGCATATTCTGTTCTGTATGGTCAGAAGCGACAAGGGTTCATTCTCTCCTCTATCTCTCTAGGATATAATAACACTAAATATAAGAAGATCTAAACTTTCATCACATGAACAAAGTACAGTACAAACAATTATCTACATGCTGGCACACACCGAATTTTCCAGAAATAACGACACTGCCTATGACTTCTTTCAAAGCAAAAAAAAGCTATCCAACGTTATGACTGCAAAGTAAATTAAACCCAACGACTAAATGCAGCTACATCGTTACTTTTAAAATCCCTTGTTTTATGAAAGAGTGCAAATATGTATAAACAAGTCTACCCCAAATCAGATTTAGTTTTTTTGTCACTTAAGCCTAACCTATGGATGTTATAACTTACTAAATGTTAGTTAAGACAAAGAGTAATTAATTTTTATAGTCAGTAGACAAAGTTTAAATAAGTTACGAAACAAGTTCAGGTGGTCAATAATTTCGAAGAAAATAATGTAAAACTGAGCTTAGTGATATAAAAATACGTTTCAAAAAACTATTGTGAAAGGTACAAATGTAAATTAATGATAAGGAGAAGTATACCTTTCAGTAATTCAAGCTTAATAACGAAAACGTTTATTCTTGTGAAAGTAGAGGGTTTCTTGTGTTTTTAAATTGTTTTCTATCACACGCTTATAGAAAAGTTTCTAATTAAACTTTATAAGACAGTTGCAACAAAACAATTAAAAATTAGTCAAACTTCTGACATTATACAAACACTTGATTTTAGATTAATCCTGTTAAATTGAACGCGTGGTCTCCAACAAAGAACAAATTCATTGCTTCATCAAACCTAAATCAGTTTAATATATCTTTAACAAACTAATTTGTATCTTAAATCTTTGTATTTCCAGCTTCACGTAAGTTATTAACCTGTATATCCATTCCCTTTTCTAACTTAAAAACAATTACTAGTGTTCCCATTGTTAACATCATCGTTTTTTGAGCATTAAGAAACAACTCTTATTAAGGATATTCCTTAATCTCCTTTTTGCAGTTATTTGTTCTATTCCAGCAACTACTGGTTGCCCTTAAATATTTCTCATTTTACAGAATACTAACTCCTCTCCGTTTATATTTAGAATCTTACTTTCTGTTCCATCATTAGAAAACAGTTTCTTAATGTCCTTAAGTTGCCATGGTTACAAGTAGACTCAAGTACCGACGTTAGATCTCGCCGAATCGAAATCTCACTTTCAATTTCACAACATGAGCTTACTTTGAAGCTAAAACATTTATGGTAGTGCTGATCAAATTTCAGCTATTAGATAACAAACATCTAAGTTTAACAGTCTCACTTTTCAAAGCAGCAACTTCCACTCTGAGCCTCAAATTTTCCTGTTCAAGGAATGCTGCCCTGATTGCAATTTCATCTTCTTTTGCTCTCCTAGCGTCTCGCGATCTTTTGGCAGCCTCATTATTTTTTCTTCTCTTCTCCCAGTAGGCTTCATCTGACAAAGAACCGCTTCGTTTTCCGTTGTCCAAATCTGTCGGTACCTGAGATGGTGTAGAAGGACTGTTCTCACCTGAAGCCCTCGTGTTAATTTCGTTTTTCATAATGTTTTTCGTGTCGGTTTCGTCGTTCTCCGGTACACTCTGGTTTGGTGTTTCGATTAGAGTCGACACCGCATTGGATGAGGGATGTATAAGAACTGCTGTGGTAGAAATGTAGGTATTCACTGAAGAAAAAGCAAGTGAATCACTTTCAGAAACGTCCGGAGTACTGGTTTCTCTGTTTCTGTCCACAAAACTCAAGATATTGGCTGCAGAACAAGAGTTAGTGTCTGCTGTATCCACATACCTCTTTTGCTTCTCTTGTCGAGAGGCTGACCTACGATATTCCTGTGAACGCTTCTTTGCCGACAACATTTTTTCTCGGAATTGAAGGTAGGCTTGATCTGAGGTACTGCAAAAGATATTTTGAGTTGTCATGCTGTCAAAGGTCAGCGGAAACTGAATAGGATAGTTGTAGTATCCCTGCGTTGTCGTGCTCGGTGCGGTCTTAGGATAAGCTTTAAAGGGCCAGTTATAATTCCTTTCCTCTGGGGATTCCATCGCACTACCGGGAATGGCATTCAGCAGTCTATTATTTATAGAACCTACATTTGGTGATACACCCAATCCTGGGGTCATGTACACTTCAGGAGACGAAAGGCTGTTTACAGAAGCGGATTGATCTGTTAGTAAGATACCTCCCAGTTCACGTACTCCATTGGAGCTAGATATTGTAGATAGGGTTATGGAAGTCTTCAACCCGTTACTCAGTGGTTCAAGAGGTATGGGCGACCGAGAGCAGCTGAAGCCTTGGTTTCGACCCTCAAGAAGACTTGTCAGTTTACTACTACTGTGAACCTTTTTAGTGGAGAAATCAAGCGGTTGCTCCGGTTCAACGACCAGGTGAAGACTGTTTCTTGACAAGTGACCACTCAGGTTTCGGTAATCCTGAGGCACACAAAACGGTGTTAGTTTGCTGGCCATGAGATTCAGGAAGGACAGTATGGTCAAACTGAAAAACATGAAAAGTAGTCATTCGTTAAATTTCTAACTCAAAACAAAATGTCAGTATGTTAGTGAAACTGTATCGTGCAGCTTGGGGGCCAAGCGAAACCCATATGTAAGTACCTAATGACTGCTATCCACTGTGGTAGCACTGAACGGTGTACGACAAAGTATCGACCAGTAGTCGAGTGTAAGGGATTCATTCTATAGCTCTTAACACATGTACGTGTTGTAATCGGCAACAACAGAAACGGTTTCTTAATGTAGCTATTCATATTTCTTATCTACATAGATGTTCTAAAGATTGCAAACGCCTCCACTATCAAACATCCTATCTGATTATGTCATCACTCTGAAAGGTGTCAGTTCATTAAAAGTAAGAAACAGTTCACGTCTTTTTACAACAGGAATACACGACATACATAACAATAGTTGAGTTCCAGCGAGAAAATATATTGGAGAACGCATTTAAAAGGGATCCCTAAAATCATATTTTGGCAGATAGCAGCTTGGGTAAAACTGTCGAATTTCATTCGAAACGAGTGTCCTTAAAGTAAAGTAAGGTTAATCCGTGTTATTTTTGTTCTATTTACATGATGTATACGCACACGATATTGAGTAATTTTTCCTATTGGAAAGCATTGTAATGCAACTTTAAAGAAAACGATTTGTTGTCCTTGGAAATAAATGCTATTGAGTGATTTTTTTCCTATTTTACAGCACTATAATACAATTTTAATACAAAGATCGTTGTCCTTGGGGTGAGTGCTAATAACATTCATTCTACCAATAGTTTTATGTAATGAAGGGAAACTACAATTTGACGATGTCTTATAAGCTGACGACTTTAAGATAAATGTAAAATTCATTTATTAAGTGTACCATTGTCGTTTGGTTTTCTCTACTCTGTGACAAATCAAGGAAAAAATAAGCCATCAAAATCTGCACTCGCCTCTCAATTTACGAACTTTAAGACCAATCTTCGTGTCACAAAAAAAAGCGTTTTTTTTTTCTTGATGTCTAAAGAATGTTTTTTTTAAGAAGACTTAAAACCATAACAAGGAATCGGAAAAAGCAGTTCATGATGATAGACCTTGACGTGAACTTTTTTCTAAACATTTTGTTGGTTGTTATATGTTCTTCTTTTCAAGTATAACTTTTATCATTTCTTAATTATTTTTGTTTTATAAGTTTATATATAATAAAAAAATTTGTGTGATGATTCCAGCCCTAACTTTCCATTGACTGTTTGGGTTTCTAAATTTGATTCGTGTTTTACGTACCAATGAATATAATGCAAGTAAGCATTCCTGTTTGTTTAAGATACCTGTTATCATGATATGACAGGTAAACTTTGCTATTTAAGCCACCTGTGATCGTGATATGACAGGTAAACGTTGCTGTTTAAAGTACCTGTGATCATCAAAAAGCGTAATGCTCTTATCGACTCGATGTCATGAGTTACAACATTTCACTTGTTTGAACATTTTTCTGATACTTATACGCTTACTACTAATACTTGTTTCTATAAAAAATATTTATTTGCTAATTAATGGCCCGGCATGGCCAGGTGGTTAAGGCATTCGACTCGCAATCTGAGGGTCGTGGGTTCGAATCCCCGTCCCACCAAACATGCTCGCCCTTTCAGCCGTGGAGGCGTTATAATGTGACGGTCAATCCCACTATTCGTTGGTAAAAGAGTAGCCCAAGAGATGGCGGTGGGTGGTGATGACTAGCTGCCTTTCCTCTAGTCTTACACTGCTAAATTAGGGACGGGTAGCGCAGATAGCCCTCGTGTAGCTTTGCGCGAAATTCAAAACAAACAAACAAACTTGCTAATTAATTTTACAGTGTTATTACATGTAATAAGAATACGATCTAATGTATTGTTTTTAGTAAATTCCATTGGCTATTATATAAATTTCCGAACAAAATATTGTAGCACCTTCTAGAGCGAAAAGTAATAATCGATCATTTTAAAATTTCTGGAACTCTTACCAAAATTTTAACCCTTAAAAAACATCAACAACAACAAAAATCTACCTTTCAATACTTGGATTAGTTAGTTTTTTTGTGCAATTGAAATATATATATATATGTACTTTTGTGTGTTTATTTTCTTCGGGTCCTCTGGTGGGTCAGCGGTAAGTTTACGGACATACAATAATACAGTTCATCGTTCGATAACAATAAATAAACAATTTCCTTCATATCAAGAATTATTTTTTAAAGCCTTTTTTTGAAGTGCTAGATAAGTTAGTTTTGAAATACTGCAAAAAATAAATGAAACAGTACAACACAATATTTTCTGAAAGTTTTACGGCCTACTTACTAAAAAGGTAAGGTTTTAAAATCTGAAATGTAATATTGTTGTTTAATATAACAAACTACCACCTGTGGTATAGTTTTGCACTTAGCCTACCAAATAAAATGTGGTTTCAAATTCCGATAACTACTAACTCGATTATGGTTTAATATATCAAAATACCATATAAGGAATGTTTGTTTGCTACACAATGGGCTATCTGTATTCTGCCCATGACGGGTATCGAAACCCGGTTTCTAGCGTTGTAAATCCGCAGACATATTGCTTTGCCACTGGGGAGAGGGGCTATAAGGAATGGCTTTAAATCTAGTTTCCCAAACAATATGTGATATAAAACTCGAAAACAAGACCTAGGTTACAATATAAACTTTCAAACACCTATATAAGGCATGGTTTTAAATTTCAAACACCTATATAAGGCATAGCTTTACATTTCAAACAGCTTTCTAGGGTATTATTTCAAGCCTGAAACTACTGTCTAGAAAATGATTCCTTCTTTCAAACTACTATATCAAAAACTGATTCAAACTAAACATATCATCAAAAGTGCATAATACCCAAGTCACCATTTAAAGTGTTGGATAATACCCAAATCACTATCTAAGATGTTGTTTCATATTCAAATCACCATCTAGAGTGTTGTTTAATACCCAAATCATCTTTTAGGGTGTAAGCTCATATTTCTAACTAGATCTAGGGTTAAGGTTCAAACTACCATATAAGATGCGGTTTCATTTTATATATTTATTTTTGCGTTTTAAAGACAGTCACTGTAATGACAAAACTTGGTCTAGCGTAAATATATTTTACGATAATAAAGACTGTTACCACAACAAAATAATTTAAACATCTATAATGGTTGGAGACGGCTTGAATGGGTAATGAAGAAAAAACTTTAATATAAGTTTAACATAACAGCAAATGTACAACGTTTCGACAAGGTTTTGTCATCATCAGGTTAAACTTATATTAAAGTTTTTTCTTAACATTCATCAGATATTTAGAAAGGAGCCAAAACCATGTGAATTTACCTCTTCAAGAAGGTGGTGCTGTCCAAGCTCAAAATATTTAACTGGGCTTCTAGTTCGGTAGGGAGTGGATGACAAATGCGTTCCTTCTTTGACCCTTTCTTCTCTACCACTTGAAAATATGCAAAGTTCATGTAATCTATTGCCTGAACCAATCAGCTACAGCCTTGGCCGATTAGTCCAGTTTCCTATGGCATCATACACTCGTCCGAGAGTTATGGACAAAGGGTTAGTCTAAGGCCCAAGGGGTCACCCATTTTACAATTCCACTTCCTCGAACTGTATGTGTGCCAACTATTTGTTGGAAGTCCCCGTTTTCTGCAAAGAAACTTCTATGTACATTAGTAAGACTTTTGTTTTACTGTAAAAAACAGTGCTTTGAGTAATAATTTCGTTAAAATTGTTTCAGTTGCTTATAAATTAGTGTTCAACTTTAGTTTAAGTTTTTTACTTATTGCATCGTATCTTTGTTGGAATTACATTTAATTTCAAAGTTCCTTTTTCCTGCAGTCCACATCGACAACAAACATATCGGTAAACAAAGTAAGAAGGTTGAAGTTTATTAATTTTGTTCATCTTGATAAAGTTCTATACTATCAAGAACGATTTGAAAGCTATATATGATACCAAAAATTCATAAAAACAATCGTCCTATTAAGCCGATAGTTTCGAATATACGCGCTTATAACCAGAAATATACAAGTTTTCTGAATTACTTTCTTGAAACATTTGAAAAGAATGAGTATACAGTTAATAGTTTTGAGATCTCTAAACAATTAGCAAATTTAAAATTTGATGAACAAATTTGTTGTGCAAGTTTTGATACCGAGTCCATGTATACTAACATTCCTTCACAGGAGTCAATTCCTTTAGAAGCAGCTTTGGTATTTCAGAATATGATTTTATAAGTTCTAATTAAATGCTTTTCTATATAACTATTAAATTTTAGTATAAAAAATCACATTTAAAACTTGAGAGTAGCATTTATGATCAAATAGATGGTGTTGCTATGGGCTCTAAGTTAGCACCTAGTCTAGAAAACCATTTTTTATGTTATTGTGAAAAACAACACTGAATGACCCTGTCAGATACAAAAAAAAAACATTTTATGAAGTTTACAGTTCAAAATGAAAGTAATTCAAAACTGTCATTTTATATCTTAATTATTTGCAACTGGAGTGTATTTACATATAATAATGTATCATAAGGCAAAATATATAGGAGGGTGCAGTCATTTTAACAATTTTATACTTGCTAAGTATGTTGTTATGTATCTGCTCGTTTGTTAATTTCCGGTAGAAGTTCTTTCTGAGG